ACCTGGAGGAACCCCGAGGAACCCAGAACATTCCCGAGGAACTTTGGGAGAGGGGGGGGGGGTGTTGCGCGTGTGTGTGCGTGCGTGTGGGCTAAGCGGGGGCGGACCTGGGCGAATCTGGGCTAAGCGGGGCAAACGCTTAAGCGGACAGGAATCGCTGTTTGTTTGAAGGGGGCAAGGGGAGAGGGGGGGGGGGGGGGCGTTTGATGCGCGCGTGCCCAATGTGCCCCATATGCCCCATGGGAACCGGAGCTAATCTGGGCTACGCGGGGCAAACGCTTAAGCGGACAGGAATCGTTTTTTTTTGTGTGTGTGTGTGGTGTGTGTGTGTGTTCATGTGTGTGTGTGGTGGGGAGGGTGGGTGGGGGGGGGGGGAGGGGTGTTGGCGTGTGTGTGTGTGTGTGTGCGTGGGTGGGTGCTAAGCGGGGCGAACTTGGGCTAATCTGGGCTAAGCGGGGCAAACGCTTAAGCGGACAGGCATCGTGTTTTTTTTGAAGGGGGTGGGGGTAGGGGCGGTTGTTGCGCGCGTGCCCCATGTGCCCCATATGCCCCATGCGAACCTGAGCTAACCAGCTAACCTGGGATACGCGGGGCAAACGCTTAAGTGGACAGGATTTTTGCTGTTCGTTTGAAGTGTGTGTGTGTGTGGTAGGGAGGGGGGGGGGGGCGTGTGTGCGCGTGTGTGTGTGTGTGTGTGTGGGGGGGGGGCTAGGCCGCTAGGCGGGGCGAACCTGGGCTAAATTTGGCTAAGCGGGGCAAACGCTTAAGCGGACAGGAATCGTTTTTTGTTTGTTTATTGTTTTTTTTGAAGGGGGGCGGTTGTTGCATGTGTGTCCCATATGCCCCATATGCCCCGTGCGAACCTGAGCTAATCTTGGCTACGCGGGGCAAAACGCTTAAGCCGACAGGAATAGTTTTTTGTTGTTGTTGGGTGTTTTTGTTCAGGTGGTGTGGATGTGTGTGTGTGTGTGTGTGCGTGTGTGTGTGTATGTGTGTGTGTGCGTGCGCGCGTGCGTGCGCGCGCGCGTGCGCGTGTGTGCGCGGGGGGGGGGGGGGGCTAAGCGGGGCGAACCTGGGCCTCTCTGGGCTAGGCGGGGCAAACGCTTAAGCGGGCAGGAACATTCTTTTGTTTGGAAAGGGGGTAGGTAGGGGGTGGATAAGGGGGGGGGGCGTTTGTTGCGTGCGTGCCCCATGTCCCCCATATGCATCATGCGAACCTGAGCTAATCTTGGCTACGCGGGGCAAACACTTAAGCTGACAAGACTCGTTTTTTTGAGGGTGTGCGTGTGTGTGTGTGTGTTGTGGTGGTGGTGGCGGTGGTGGTGGGGGGGGGGGGCGCGTGCGCGCGTGCGGGCTAAGCTGTGCGAAAATTGGCTAATCTGGGCTAGGCGGGGCAAACGCTTAAGCGGACAGGAATCGTTCTTGTTTTTTGGAAGTGTATAGGGGGGGGGGCGCGTTTGTTGCGCGTGTGCCCCATGTGCCCATATGCCCCTTGCGAACCTGAGCTTATCTGGGCTACGCGCAGCAAGCGCTTAAGCGGACAGGAATCAGTTTTTGTTGCTGGGGGTGGAGTGGGGCGGGGTGGGTGGATGGGGGTGGGGCGGGGGGTTGGGGGGGGAAGAGGGGGCGCATGTGTGCGTTTGTGTGTGTGTGGGGGGGGGGGGCTAAGTGGGACACCACTTAGCCCCCCCCCCGAAAGCGCGCACACCAGGTGACCCACGAAAGGGTGGGTCACCAGACATCGTCATCGTCATCATCGCCATTATCGCGCCTCCGTCGGCCTCCTTAAAGGGCTCCAAGAAAAATCAAATTCAGTTTTGGGAATTACATGACGACTTTCATATTGTGGACAAGGCAGAACTCCGCACGCGCGCGCGTGGGTGACCTGGCCTCCGTCGGCCTCCTTAAAGGGCTCCAGAAATTTGAAATTCAGTTTCGGGAATGACATGTCGACTTATATATTGTGGACATTGCAGAACTCCCCGCGCGCGCGCGCGGGTGACCGGGCCTCCGTCGGCCTCCTTTACGGGCTCCGGAAAAATTCCAATTCAGTTTTTGGAATTACATGTCGACTTTTATATTGTGGGCAATGCAGAACTCCTCGCGCGCGCGCGCGTGGGTGACCTGGCCTCCGTCGCCTCCCCAAAGGGCTTCAGAAAAAAAAAAACTCAAATTCAGTTTTTGGAATTACATGTCGACTTTTATATTGTGGACAATGCAGAACTCTCCGCGCGCGCACGCGCGGGTGACCTGGCCTCCGTCGCCCTCTTTAAAGGGCTCCAGAAAATTGAAAGTCAGTTTTGGTAGTTACATGTCGACTTTGGTATCAGTCTGGTGCCCCAGTGGGAGTAGTCCCTTATGGTGGTTCCCTATGGTCGGTGCCGTCGGTGCCCTATGGTGCCCCCACCCGCCCCCCAGAGGTGTCCGATGGCCGATGGCGTTGCCCGAGGCGTGACACTAGCCAACCTTAGGCAATTTAGTGACGCACAATTAATATCACATGGGTGCTCTGGGGCCCTGCGCTGCGCGTGGCGCAGCGGCACTGCGTGGCGGGGTGGGCGGGGGGGCCTTCCGGGACAACCTGGGACCCAAGAGGTTGGAGGCGTTGGCCTGGATGAGAAGTTCAGTTTCATTATATGTCTTCAGGTCAGGCGCCCACTCTCATTTTATTGCCACATTCTATTATTTGCTATACATGTTCCTCGCTGTTGCTTGGCAGGTCCTCTGGAACCTGACGTGCCCTCGAAGTTGAAACGAACGTAAGCTTAGCTAGTCCATCTTAATTGTTATCATTTGGAAATGGCATTGCTGGCAATAGCTGCTATAGCTATACTCAGAACTCGACTCGCTGTAGACTTGTTCTGTTGATTAGCCCTGTGTGTTTATATTCGATTGTCTAGATTTGACATCGGCTCTGATCGAGTTGGCGGTCAGACCAACCAGCCCCTGACCGCGATGCACTGCGCACCGCCATGCCCTACATAATCTGTCAAGCCGACTGGGAAGAAAGTTGGGAGTACAGTGTCGAAGGAAAAACAACATCACATAATGACATCAGGCTCTGGATGGGGAGGCACGGTTGAAGGTGGCCCCGTCTCCTTGTCAAGCAAAAACTTGAATTGCTCGGCATTGCGACAGAGAAACTCGCGGGCTTCTCTCCGTTCCGCCAAATCTGGCACGAGAAATCTTTCACTGTGCATATCGGCTGACATGTCGGCCCCCTTCTTCAGCCATGCAACCAAATGCCCTAATGGGCGCCCAGCGCCAGGTCTAGCGACCCCAAAATTAAATGTGCGCGTGCGCCTGCAGCTCCGGGCCCCTCCGCGGGATTCCACTGTGCAATGGGCGCACACAGTGTTGTCTGCAGGTTTATGGACCAAGTACCCGCCTGGCACGCGAAATTGCTGCCGGAATTGGCGGGGACCTCGCAAGCCGCCATCGCGAGAAGGCTCTGGAGGCTCTGCAGACTCTGGTGGCGGTGGCGGCTCCGCCGCGGGCTCTGCCGCAGGCGGTGGAGGGTCTGCAGCAGGCGGCTCGGCAAGAATCCCACCAGCCCTCCGGGCATAGATGGCTTAGAGCGTTTCCTCTTCCCTCTTCCCCTCTTTCTCCCCCTCCCCTGGAGTCCAGGGGAGGGGTTTCAGGGGGCCTGGACCTGGACGGGGGGTTTCGCGGGTCCAAGATGGATTGATATCCCAAGATGGACTCCAAGAGGGCCTCAGGGAGCCCAAGATGATATCCAAGATGGCCCGATATAGCCCAACATGCCTCAAGATAACTCCCAAGATGCCCTGGCCCAGAGGCCCCAAGACCGCTCCAAGACGGCCCCAAGTGGCCACGGAGCCTCCAACGGAGGCCCCCAAGATAGCCAAATCCTTCAAACACCTAAGGTAAATCAAAGATACTTGCCGTCTCGCCATTTCGTTTCCGATGGCCTTCCGAAACCTCCAGCCTCAAGATGGCCCCAGGACATGCCCCAGAGTCAAGAGGACCAAGAGAGCCCCAAGACGGCCCCAAGAGCGCCCAAGAGCACCCCAAGATCGCTCCAAGAGGGGCCCAACTGACGATTTTATGCACTCTAGAGGGGCAGCGCTAATGTAGTACCCCCCCCCCCCCCTTCTTGGATCGATCTCCTAGTCCAAGAGCGCCCCCAAGGAGGCCCCCAAGAGTGCCCCAAGAGAGCCCCGAGAAGGCGCCCAGGGGCGTCTAAGAGGCCTCCAAGAGGCTCCCAAGAGACCCCCCAAGAGGCTCCTGGAGGCACCCAGGACTCCAGGACTTCCAAGAAGCTCCCAAGAGACTTCCCGAAAAGACTCCGAGAGGCTTCCGAAACGGCCTCTAACCCTCCCTCTCGCCATCCTCCTAATTTTCTTCCCCCTCCTCCTCCTCCTCGTCATCCGCGTATTCCTCCTCCCTCCTCCCTCCCCCTCCCTTTTTTCCCTCCTCCTCCTCCTCGTCGCCCTCCTCATCCTCCTCGTTCTCCTGCACTTCCTCGTCCCCCCCCCCTCTCATCCTCATCCTCATCCTCATCATGTCCTCATCCTCCTCCACCTCCGCCTCCTCTTCGTTCTCCCCCACGTCCTCCTCCTCCCCCTCCTCCTGGCCCTCCTCCTCCTCCTCCTCCTCCTCATCATCCTCCACCTCCGCAACCTCATCCGACTCCCTCCATCCCCCCCCCTGGGGCGCGACGACTTCCCCGGCCCCTGCCCCACTTCCCTGATCAGTGCAACTCGTCTGGGCATTGTTGCTGGATGGGCTGGCGGAGTTACGCGAAGCGTCAAGAATATCAGCAGGCCCTGGCGGCCCTGGCGGAGGATCCTGGGCATGCGGCCCTGGCGGGGACACTGGCGCATCGCTTCCGGGAAACGCTGGCATTGGTGGCAACCCTGCCGCAGGCAGAGCGTCTGGAGTAGGAGGGTCTCCATCAGCAGGCTCGACCAGATCAGCAGGCCTCGGCTCAAGGCCGCATCCGGTGGGCGTGTCAGGGGCCTCAGGGGTCGGACAACCTCCGATGGGCGTGAGTGGGGCAGCCGCCCCGCCATCTCCATCGCCATCGCCATCGCTGTCGGGGCCGAAATCGCCAAACAGCGACGCGACGGCACTCAGCTCTGTGTTCCAGGATTCCTGGTCGTCGAAGTCACCGTCCTCAATGACGTTGGAGCCCAACTGGTCTAAAGCATCATCGCCCCACTCCTGCTCCTCAGCCTCTCTGGCGTCCTTGTCGGCAGCAAGCCCCCACGCCCCAGACGCCGCATCGGCTGCTGCCTCAGCATCCATGCCGGCTTCGGCCTCCTCGCCGCGGGGGTCCCCTGCAGCGGCCCCAGCAAGCCAGGCTCCCAGAAGCTCGTCGGCGTGCTCGTCGACATTGCCCTGGGGGGTGGGCGAGGCTAGCAGCTAACATAAACATGCACGTGACATATGTATGAATAAAGTTCACATCCAAGGACGCAGAGACTAAGTAAACAGTAGGCCACAGGGTCGAGCGCCGAAAGGCCGAACATAGATAACGGATAGCGTCGATCCTACAAACTTCGAATCATGTTTGTTCGCAGTTTGCGATCTTACTTTGGGTATGTGTACTGAGGCATTTATGGGTGCTGTCTTGAAGCATCTGCGACAAGGGGCCAAAGGAGACTGCTTGAGCTGCGCGAGGGTCCTGGGATTTTGATTGTGGCACTCCCACCATTAATATCGCGCCTCGCGAAACCTACCCCCTCGTCCACTCATTCAGGTCTAGAGCTCAGAATTTTGATTCGCATTGAGGCCCGAGCCTTTAGAAGGGGGAGGAGGAGGAGGCAAACGAGGAGCAGCAGCAGCAGCGGCAGCAGCATCATCAGGGGGAGGAGGACGAGGAGGACGAAGACGATGAGGGCGAGGAGGACGAGGAGGAGGAGCAGGAGGGGAGGAGGAGGAGGAGGAGGAGGAGCTTAGGAGGAGGAGGGCTCTGCATCCCTTGACGTGGGTGCCGCCAGTGGGCATTGCTGAATTGCTTCTCTGCCCCCTAAGGACCTCCTCCAGCGGGAGCGGCGGCGGCTCCTCAGCAGCGCCGGCCCCGCCTGCGCCGGCCCCGCCTCCAGCGCCCGCGGGCCCGAAGTCGCCAGCGTCGTCCTCGCCCTCCGCCAAGTCCCATCCGCGGCCTGGCCCTCCACGACGACGGCGCTTGCGCCTTGGAGGTGGTCGCGGGCTCCAGAACTCCATCTCCCCGAAGTCCTCCCTGACGACCTCCAACTCTGAAGGGGCGATTGATGGCAAGGTAGCGTCTGAACTCACCAACTTATAAAACACTGCTCTCCATGTGAAGTTCAAAGGGATGTCGTTCAGAGCGAGACGGAAACTTGATCTTGCCATGGGCTTCCCATTCTCCAGTAATGGGTTGACAAAGCACCTCTGTGGACAATCAGGCTCCTGAGGGCCTTTCAACAACCAAAATGTCGGAACCCGCCTGTGCTGGACCATTCCGGTGTGGGCCCACACTCGAATATTGAACTCCTCTCCGTCGTAACCATTGAGAGCCAACACCTGAAATCCATCCAGCACGACATTTTTTACCATGGAGGGCGAATACGGCGTCTTAGAAAAAAGCGCCGTGCACAGCTTACCAGAAAATTGCAAGGACTTGTAGCCTAGGCTTGGAGTCGTAGCATTGCTGGCGGGCTTGCACACGCACGTCCCCAAATGGGCGCACGCAGGTGTCACCATCGGCACTTCCCCCATATGTGGAATGGCATTGTGTTCTATCAGCTTGTGGAGGCCTGTCCAAAAATCGGCAGTATAGTCTGAATCCAAGACGCCCCCCGCCACTGGGCCCACTGGATCAGTCTTGGACGCTATCTTCGCTATCGCTGCATCTGCGATTACACGAGGGTTGAGCTCCTTCACCACGCAAAACGTTGATGGACTGGGCGCTGGAAGGGATTGAAATAAACCATCGGCAGGGGCTGGCACAACGGTTTGCTCGATGCGCTGGGACTCCACAATCTTGCTGTACCTGTGGCTAATCTAATGATATCGGGCCTTCGTGCTGGAACCCTTTGGGGCCCTTGGGGCCCCTTTCAGAGCGGGCCTGAAGGGGGGCGCGGAGGAGGAGGAGGAGGATGAGGAAGAGGTGGATCACAGGGAGGAGGAGGAGGAGGATGCGCAGCAGCAGCAGCAGCAGCAGCAGGGGGAGGAGGACGAGACGGAGAAGGAGGAGGAGCAAGAGGAGGAGGAGGAGGAAAAGGAGGCGGAGGCTGGAGGAAAGGAAGAGGGAAGAGGAACAGGAGGAGAAGGAGGAGGAGCCTGGAGGAAATGGATGGGAAGCAGGAGGAGGGGGTGGAGGTGGGGCGGGGGGGGGGGGACTGGGAAGGGGGAGGCTGAGGAGGAGGACGTGGAGGAAGAGGGGAAGGAGGAGGAGAAGGATGGAGGGAGGTGGAGGAGGAACACGGCGATGACGATGACGAGGATGGAGCGGTAGTGGGATGAGAAAAAAAAAAAGGAAAATTGATGATGGTGGATTGTGGGGCGACGAGGGGGAGGGCCAGGACGACGAAGAGCAAGAGTCCAGAAGAAGGAGGGTGAGGAAGAGGCGGAGGGGGAGCAGCAGCAGCAGCAGCAGGAAGAGAATGAGGAGCAAGAGGAAGGAGTGGACGAGCGAAGGGGACAGAAGGAGGAGAAGGATGGAATAGGAGGAGGAGGGCGACGACGACGACGACGACAACGACGGGCAGGAGGAGGAGGAAGAGGAGGAGGAGGAGGAGGAGGAGGAGGAGGAGGAGGGAGGAGGAGGAGGAGGCAGGGGGCTGGGCCAGAGCACCAAAACCCTAACAGTTGTTGCGGTCGCCCCAGGGCCCCAGGGATCCCTAGAAACCAGAAGACCTTTGAATGCTGAACAACACCTGAGCGAAGTCCCAGAATCCCGAATCAGAGCCTTGGAATAGGTCTGGAATTAATTATCACGGTGGGTCGAAATTTGTTTTATGATAATGTGGGTACTGTGCAGCGTCTGACTCATTGGCTGCCCTCTGTGCCCGCCCGGCAATGTACGTGAGTTGCCGGATGCGACGCCGGACGTCCACCAAATTACCGTCCATCATGTCGGCTGGAACGAGCACGGCTGTGCTCAAGGAATCTGCGGAGCCTCCGATGAGCAGCGAGAGGAGCAGGAGGAGAAGGAGGAGGAGGAGGAGGAGAGGGAGGGGGAGGGGGAGGGGGAGGAGGGAGGGGAAGGAGGAGGAGGAGGAGGAGGAGGAGGAGGAGGAGAAGGTCGAAGAGAGGAGAGGAGGAGCAGGATGGGAAGGGGGGGGAGAGGGTGAACCCATGACCCAGGGACCTGGTGACCAGGGGCCCGGGACCCATGGAGGTCGAAGGGGGGAGGGAGGAGGGAGGCAGGTGGAACCCTGATCAGATCGAAGACCCCATAGGCCCTAGGCAAGGACAGTCAAATATGAAACAACCTTGGAACACAGAAATGGAGTGTCACATTATAAAGTACAATATAATACTACATCATATTTTATTTGCCCCATTTTACCCTGCAGGAGCCTTCTGAGACGGCCTTCTGGGCCAGCACGAGCGCCTCGGCGGCGCCTGATCGGTCCGCCAGCGACTGGAGGTCGGCTGCTGACAAGGCGCTCCAGGGTGGAAGGCCTGCTGCACGACGTCGAGTTGCAATCGCAGCCTTCTGGACAAAAGGCTGTCGCTCCTCGGGGCCCATGGCCTGCCACTCCCTGGCGGCAGCTGACACCTGATCTACGAATGTCGCCGCATGTCTCAAATCTTCACCAGCTTGGACAGCGTCCCGGAACCTCTGTGCTTGGAATGCCGCCCAGGCAGAATACGCTCTCCTCTGGCGAGGCTTCCTCTCGTTTTTCTCTGATTTGGGTGCGTTCTCTGTGCGTGAGCTTCGCTGAGACAAACCAATGCCAGGGGTACTGAACTCAGACTCGCGGGCTCCGCGCCGGACCCGGATCCCTCTGCACAGGAGTTTCGCTGAGATGTATTCCACTTCAGGAGCGTGTGTCTGCAAACCTTGCATTTTGATGAGACGCCTGCACTCAGACCACCGTGCTTCCACGCGTGCGATACAGATGTCAGTAAGTGCAGCTCGCATCTGCAGCTCCCCTCGGGCCGCAGGCGAAAACACCTGCGAGGCTGGATAACGGGTGAAGTACTCTCGAGAAACGGGATCCAATAAACATGGTTTGGCCACAAGTTCTTTCCTGATCCTCTGAGCGTCCTCCTTGGACCTGGCATTGAGCAGCTGGAATATCCTGAATGGGAACAGCCTCTCTGGCCAAACCAGAAGATCGAAGCACGTCAACGCAGCGCGGCTGACCAAACGAAACGCGAGGCAGCGTGTGAAATTGCTCCTGGCAGCTGGAGGCACACAATTCCAACGAAGACCAGCGTCAACACACGGCTGAACTAACATACCAAAATGCAACACTGCTGGTTCGGAATACCATCCGTCGTACTTGAGAAGCGCCCTGTACTGCCGTGCGCCGGTGTGGTAAAGCTTTCGTGTTTGCTCTCTGTCCCAGCCCCTGGAAGATGTTTGGAGCATACGTTTCAATGACATGCGGCGCCCAACCATCACAATCTTGAGAATCATGATCTCAGCTGCACCATATTGGGTGTTGACCCATGCAGAGCTGACACGGAGCCACCGCGTGGTCAACGCGCGGTACACCTCTTCCGTGGATTCGGAGCCTGAGTTCGGGAGACCACTGTTCAAGCTAGCTTCGAACGCGTGGAGCACAATTGCAAGATCCTGATCATTGGGGCTGAGGTCTCTGAGCCGTTGCGTCGCCAAAATGGTGAATGCTTTGCTGAATAAGCCATGCGCGCATTCCAGCAACATTGCAACTGAATACGTCTCCTCAGCTCCAGTCCATTTGCCACGACTGAAGTGGCGAAGCCCGGAAATAGCTATTGGAACAAAATGTGCCATGAATTGTTGAATTGTGTGTTCTCTGTTATTACAGCATCCTCTGCAATGATGAATCACACACGTCCTGTCAGTCCAATCTCCGTTCAGAAGAACTTCGAAAACATGTTCTCGCCACTGCTTGCTAAGATGGCTGAGGTTGTCTCGCCGCCAAATGAACTCGTCCAGGGCTGCGCGACGGTGGCTGGCAGCCTCGCCTACTGGCACGGGCCCGTAGTTAATCACGAGCTGCTCCTTGATTATATTCCCCAAAATATTGGCGTACTTACGACTCTGACCAACCTTAAAGGTGGCAACTTTCAGTGCAGTTGAGCACGGATGAGGAGCAGCAGCAGCAGCAGAGTCAGAAACATCAACAACACGAGCTCAGCAGCAGCAGCAGCAGCAGCCATACCAGCAGCAATAATATAAACAATCATCCGCACCAACATAGAAGCAGCATCAGCAACAGCAACGGCAGCAGCAGGACCAGCAGCATGAGGGCGATGAAAGGCACGATGAGGATTTGGAGGAGGAGGGGGGGGAGGAGGAGGAGGAGGAGGAGGAGGAGGGAGGAGGAGGAGGAGGAGGAGGAGGAGGAGCACAATGAGGAGGAGGAGGAACAGCAGGTGCAGGAGGAGGGGGAGCAGCAGCAGCAGCAGCAGCAGCAAGGGAGGTGGGAAGGGTCGTCAGGATCTGGGCGGTGGATGGGGTGTAAGAGGGGGGGGGGGGGGGGGGGGGGGGGCAGGGGCAGGCGCAGGGGTAGGAGGGGGAGGAGGATGGGGGGAAGGGGGGGGGGGGGGGGAAGGGTAGTGGGGAGCGGGGATGGGCAGGGGCAGGGGGATGGGGAGAGGGAGAGTGAGGGGGGGGAGGGGGGGGGGGGGGGGGGGGGGGGCGAGGAGGGGGAAGGGGGGGGGGATGAAGGGGGGGATGAGGAAGGACGAGGAGGGGGATGGGGGAAGGGGAGGGGGAGAGGGAGGGAGGGGGAAGGGGGGCGTGGCGGGCCCGGGGTTTGGAGCCATCTTGGATGACATCGATCACCATAAGGGACGAGCTTAAAATAGCGTCGCCCCCCGGGGGCCCCACAGATCGCCTCTTGGGGTGCTCCTGGGGCGCTCTCGGAGGGTTCCTGGCCGCTTTGGGGGCCGTCTTGCGGCTCTCATGGGCCTTTTTGGGGGCTCCCTTGGGCTTGGAGTCTTGGGGCCATCTTGAGGCCTCGGAAGGCCATCCAAAGCGAAAAGGCGACATGGCAAACAAAATCTTGATGTTCCTCCAGTGTTTGAAGAAATTGTGCCTCTTGGCGGCCTCATGGCCACTTGGGGCCGTCTTGGGGCGGTCATCGGGGCCTCTTGGGGCATATTGGGAGCAATCTTGAAGCTTCTTAGGTAAAGCGCAGAGCGCAGGCCAAACCGCAACTCTGGCAAGCAGCGAGCTCTTGCAGCTC